ATAGAAATGTCTATTGGTTAAACATTCTCTTCACATAAAGTCAGACATTTCTATCGGTTTGGAAAGAATTGTAACAACCTGAAAAGGGTTTGATTTTTTGTTCGAAAACCCTGGAAGCTGAACCACGACCACCACCTCACAAGCGGGAGCGCCCGTCTGATGAGTTGCAGGAGCTTATTCCCACATCTGCCAAGGAGTTCAAGGGATCAGACCACAAGTCTTCCTAAAAGCAGCCTGTTTTCAGTATTAGATCCATTTATACTAGGTCCACAGTGACAGTTTAATGAAGTTCTTCTTAAGGACCTGGCAATGTCTGCTGATACTAAAATCTTTCCTTTCTCCGAGTGGAATATGAAGAGACATCTCAGTATGAGAGCTATGGGAAAACTCCTTATTGCTTAATAAGCAGAGTCAGCTCTTCTATTTAATTGCACAAAGAAAATATTTTTAAAAGCCTACAAACCTTACAGATTGAAAGGTCTTTAATGCCTTTCTTTCTATTGATTATGCATAATCATTATGCATAAACTTCTATTGATTATGCATAATCATTATGCATAAACTTCAGCTACAACCCATGTGCTGAATCTTCAGTTAGTTTTGCAGCAAAACCCTAAAATTATCCATAAGAAATGGAAAACTGGGATAGCAACACATTTTAATGATGAAAATTCACTTCATATGTGGAAGTAAATTTACTTGGAAGCAAATCTAAAATCACTAGGATACGGGGACTGAGCAGTTGAATTCTCAACTCACCTCCTAACTATTTTTATGAATTACAACGCAATTATCTGTTGTACCAACATACTTGTGCCAAATGCAATATCCAGCTTGCAGTGGTGCTTTATAGCCATATCTATGGCATAGTTGTGGCTATAAAGTACATGCTTTCAAGCACTGGAGTCAATTTGGTTAGGTGCTTGCTTGGCCAATATGACCTAAGCAGGCATCTGAGTTTATAGAGTGAGTGGCTTCTAAAAGATGAATTGTAAGTGGAATTGAGTGTGGTAAGGGGAAGGGAAATGGCAGAAACCTTCTAACAAAGGTGCTAAGGTGGGCTATGTGTGCAAGTTCTCCCCTTACTTTGCATTTTTCACCAGTTTTCCCTCCCATTGATATAAACAGGAAAAGACATTCCTTATACCAACCTAAGGTATCTGCTAGATCCTTGGTTCCAGCAGATGAAAATTCATCCCTGTCCATCTCCAGAATATGACATTTGACACCATCAGTGGTATTGTGTTTTTACATCTGTGAAGCTTTTTGATGAATTATTGGGCATACATCAGATAAATAAAGATTTACCCTGACATTTGTTGTGTCCGAATCTGAGTGGTGGTATTCCTCTCCATTTCTAAGCTGAAGAGCCAGAATTGTCCACAGACACCTCCAAGGTCATGTGGTTGGCATGACTGCATGGAGCGCTGTTACCTTACTACCAAGGCAGTACCTATTGATATACTCACATTTGCATGTTTTCGAACTGCTAGGTTGGCAGTGCACCATCAGATACATCTTCTCAAAAACACACAAGAAAATGCATTTGTCTCCCAGCAAGCTTTTATGGCTGTTAGGGATCTATTGTTCGAAGAGTAAGTGAATATACATGGGGCAACGAGCTTGTAATTGAAGGGCCACCTTCCTATAAAATATACAATAACTGCATCACATATACCGCATCTAGCCCAATGTGTGAAAGTGTATACTATGTGATGTTACTGATAGATTTATTGGCTTTTAACATGTCAGAATATTTTCAGTTGTTTTGCTATAATTGATTAACTTTGGCTCCTTATAAATTTGTCACAGCATTTCAGAAGAAGTAGACATCATCTCATGAGAAAAAACAAAGAAAAAAAAGAGAGACTTTCAAGTATATAGTGCTAATGTCTAGCTAGACAACTGAGCCATATAGAATGGGCTTCTTAGAAACAACTCTTTTGGGGGTTGGAAGAGAGGAGAAAGAATATGATCACATTTATGTAAGAGTGGTCTTATTAGGAAGATTTTGCTGAACTGTTGACAATGATGTACAGTAGCGATTCGTTGGAATGACGTTTAGAGAAAACGATTCTGCTGCACCACCACACAAAACCAATTAGAGAACTATTTTCTGCGACAGGTCAGGAATTTACATTGTTTCTCATGGAAAGATGTGCCTTTTAATTTCTTTATTAAGATGACATCCATGTCCCTTGAGACTTTTCAGGATGACAATCATTTGCTCATCACTCGGGAAAGAACAATCAGTGAAATCACGTCACCAGTCTAGGGCAATGCCAGAAACTCCAAGCATCGTTCCGCATTTTCCAAATGAACTACTCTGAGAACTAATAATTAGAACAATATATATTGGCAGGGATTTTTGACAGGACCTTTAGCAGCACACCGAAGAGACGAAAGTAACTATGCATACACACACACACAGCAGAACAGCAATGCTGTGAATAGTTTGATAATTCTGTGTACCACGATTTTGTCATTTCAGAAAATAGTGAAATACTGTTTATATTGGGATCTCAAATAATAATGCACAGAAGTGGATTTATTGATCTTTCCCTTTCATAGGCTTCCAATATTCAATATTAACAGAAAGCGAGATGTATTGTTGAAGGCTTTCATGGCTGGAATCACTGGGTTCTTGTAGGTTTTTTGGGCTATATGGCCATGTTCTAGAAGCATTCTCTCCTGATGTTTTGCCTGCGTCTGTGGCAAGCATCCTCAGAGGTTGTGATGCAGGCAAAACGTCAGGAGAGAAAAACCTACAACAACCCAGAAAGTGAGATGGTTAAAACAATAAGTGTCACAAAGTCATAAAAACTCTGGCATTTCAGAAAAAAGAACACCACCTATAACTCCTCAGTCTGTTCTCCTCACTGGTTCATGGCAGTCATAATGCTATAGGTTAAAAGGTGAAATTTGAATCATAAATAGTACATCCCATTTCTTCTAACTTGGCCGCACACAAAGATTACCCCAAGAGACAAATGAATTAATTAGCTGTCATATGTTTGAAGTGTGTAAAACTCTCTTTTTTAAGAAAAAAAGGCATGAGAGGAACCCAGTCATACCTATACTGTGCTAGTACAGTATTTATCACTTTCATTTACTGATGTTCAAAAAGATATATTATTCTTGAGGATTTGGAGAGGGAAGGCTGGGATACCTAAATTGGTTTTCTTGACTCCCATTTTATAGTGTATAAAAACCAAATCAAAAACAGTTTATTAAGAATATATTCAGAAGAGCCAACATGTTATGGAAAGTTTAGGAAGGAGTGTGTCAATTTAGGTGCAGTTTAGTTTTACTTTTACTTACTGAAAGCTTGAAACCAAGCCTTTGGCTTTATTTGGGGTGAAATTCTCTATACTTTCAGCTTACAATATTATTTCTCTCCTTATTTCTTTTTGCTGGTGTTGTTACCACCGCTGCAACTATCACAGCAGTTCTGCCCCTCACTCACATTGTTCACATTCACAAATGATCTAAATGCCCACAGATACAGCAAGCACTGGCAGCACCTTCAGCCATTGTTAGTTTACTTAAAATAAGTCTGTTCTACTTTCCATCCAATATTTGGGACATCTCTAATGAGCAACAGTCAAGTACCGTATATTCCGGCATATAAGACGACTGGGCGTATAAGACGACCCCCAACTTTTCCAGTTAAAATATAGAGTTAAGACGACTCCCATGCATAAGACTACACCCGCGTATAAGACGACCCCTGACTTTTGAGAAGATTTTCTTGGGTTAAAAAGTAGTCTTATACGCCAGAATATACTGTACTATAAGCGCACTCAGTAAACATAAAACTGACTTTTTTTTAAAAAAAAAGTTATAACACGGAGACAAATAACATAAAACAAAGTAAAAGACTAAACAACGAGAGGCAGATTCATTTCAAAAGCAGATCAAAACAAGTTATTTTCAATGAGTGTCTAAATGGCAGTAGAGAAGGCCATAGCTTTAGTAACACGATAAAGAAGGTCCAATCTGGCCTACATTCTCATACAAAAGAAGTGCCACAGAAAACAGGGATTTCATCAAAGATCCAGAAGCCCCCGGTGGTGCAATGGGTTAACCCTTGTGCCAGCAGGACTGTTGACAGACAGGTTGGTGGTTTGAATTTGGGGACTGGGGTGAGCTCTTGTCTCAGCTCTAGCTTCACATGCAGGGACATGAGAGAAGCCTCCCACAAGATGGTAAAACATGAAAAAATCTGGGCGTCCCCTGGGCAACGTCCTTGCAGACGGCCAATTCTCTCACTTCAGAAGCGACTTACAGTTTCTCAAGACACTCCTGACATGGAAAAAAAATCAAAGATCCAAGTGAACATCAGAACGTAAGCATATAAGTATGCCACACAGCATACTGGATCAAATCAAAAGCTGATCTGGACAGTCATTCTATTTCTACAGTAGCCAGCAAAATGTCAATGGAAAGGCTATAAGCAAGGCATAAATACAAAAGCACCTTCCTTTACATGCACATATATTATACTGAATGCTGAATGTGGGAGTCTTGACATATTCTATTACTGGAGAACATAGAGCTCTTGTGACTAGCAGCCACTGGATAGCACGCGGCCTCATCAACTCCTTAAAACAATATCTAGTTCGTCCAAACACCTTGGTAACTATCACTCTATGATGTCATAGGAAAACCCATAATTCCTCTTCTGTTATCTGACCTGAATTTCCCAATATGTTTCATTGGATGATTCCCAAATCGGATTGGGAAGAATCAATACGATTGAAGCCCTAATATTTTAAAATGTATATTGTCATACTAATTTGTATTACCACAAAGGCAGTTAACTCCCCGGAGATAAATTTTGAGGTTGCCAGAAGTATCCATCAGGCAGTGGTTTCTTGATGCTACTACTAATAGAACACCATTATGCTTGTAAGAACATAAAAAGAAAAATGAAGAGCATAAACATTTTCACTTTGCTTACTAAGGAGTCTTTAAAAAACGAATAACAATCCTCTTACCAGCCAAATATATTGTGAAAATATCTCCATGTTTTTTCTGCAAGGACAATAAAAAGCTGGTAGCATCATTTCTAAAATTCAGAGCGTGCCCCAATAATGGGATCCAACCAGCTTCTAAGGGAGCCTCGCCAGGTCTCCTGGAAAGAAAGAAAAAGACAGGAAAAGAAAAGAATGATCAATCCAGATGAACATTTCATCATTTTCATGCATTAGTTGCAAAGGATCATGTCCAAAACATCTCTTTCATGAGATAAGAATTTCCCCGCCAATTGTTCTGTACTGGGAGGCTTCAGGCATGTTAGACCTGTACACGGAGCATCATGAGACACTGCAGAATTTCCTGTTTCATGTATAATAAAACTGCTAAGAATGTCAACCCATGAAGTTGTGGTTGTGAGCCTTCAAATCGACTCTGATTTGAAGGCACATATTCTGTATAGAATGTCAAAAGCAGATAACCAGGTTCATATTTCTAATACTAAAAAAACAAAAACAAATAAATAGACTAAACAGGTTACATGTCACTGTTACATTGTTGCTGTTGTTTTAAAAAAGGCCCTACATTATATACAGAAACATGTATGTTCATTATTTTTTATTTTATATAGTACAACAGATTGAAAGCAATCCAATAGATTGAAACAAGTAAGCATATCTCCCTTAGATTTTGTATTAAATAGAACTATAATAGCTATCCGTACAATTCAAATAATACTGATCAAATAGCAAATGTATAAATGCAACTGGCATTTGTCTCCTTTGAATTCCGGCTTAGGTTCACCAAAAATGATTTCATACAAAGGAAAAGAAGCCAGGTCTGTCAAAGAAAGGATTAAAACAAATATAAATATTTTTAAAACACACTGATGCCACAGCCCCATCTGGAAAGGTGACTTATTCTACATGCAGAACAACTCATTTTGATTAATCGCAAGATATTTACTAGCCTGAATCTAATCAAAGATCAAGGGATCACAGGCTTTACTACAATCATATATGGCATAGAAATTTATGTGGCTGGATTAACCCTATCATAGCCGTGAAAGTTTATAAGAGAGCCTTTTAAATGAAAAGAGAAATGTTTTGCTCAGTATTATTTTTAAGGTAAAAACAACTAGTTGAAAGACAAGAGTGGAACAAGAAACATTTGTTCAGCTTTGATAAAGAAGAGAGTGCCCTGCCATGAATTGGTTAAAAGGAAGTATATTAAATCTCCATAAATGTGCATAAATGTGCATGTAAAAAAACAACTGTTAGTTAAACTTTGTATATGAACTATGTGGGTTGCCTTTAGCAGTAATTCCATTTTGTTCACACAGAAGGAAATTCTAACATGGAATTTGTCTTCTGAAGTTTGTTCAAAATACAATTTTCCTAAACAAATTATTCTGTCCACTTAATCAAGGAAAATCTTTTAGTTGTTCACAATGGCTTTAGCCATATTGGTTGAATATGCTGAGCACCAGGATCGGTAAGGCTGGAGTAATTTAATGCTGCAACAATGTATAAAACACCAACAGAACTATACATAGATTTAATGAATGAACACAATGGGAAGAAAACCAACATCCCTGTTGAAACCATCTACATTCTGAAAGGAGGGCAGATAGAATGGGAGGCATAGGTAACAGACAGAGATGAAAAATATGAGTAAGTGATATTATATACACCCTACATGAATTTACCTGAAAATAAGTGCCATTGAACTCAGTGGGGCTTACAATCTATGTGGATATGTGTAGAAGTGTGCTGTTCAGTTGGTTGTGGATGACGATGGAATAGAAATATTTCACAAATGTCTGTAGTCTGTATATTCTAAGTAGAGAGCAGTTGCAATAACACAAAGCCCCTTACCTACCAGGGGAGGTAGAGCTTTGCACACTAAGGAGACAGTTACCCCAGCTACTACTGGAAAATCAGGAGGCCTGGCTATACATCAAGGATTATATTATTGCCATGTGATTTTGCTAAACAGCTTGGCTCTTTCATGGAGGGAATATAATAGAGGTGTGTGGGCTATCTGATGCTTCAAAAACAGTGAATCCACTCCCAGTTTTTCAGGTATTATTCTTGCAATGGCTCCCATTTTTATAGGAACCAACCAGATGTGGAATCCTGTTTCTGAGAGAGGTTCAGCAATGGGAGAATCCCTTTACAACCTAGGGGACTACTGGAGAAAAATGAAGGACATATTTGCACTGACTCATTATCCCAAAAGGGAGGCAATTTAGCACAATGGAGGCTACATGATGAACAGAGCTGATTTGGGTTAACACAGGCCTCTTTACCAAAGTTGTGGGTTACTCCACATTTTCTCCGAGAATCCTGAGCAAACTGCGACTTCGGGCCTATGTAAGCAGTTGGGCCTGTTTACACAGCCATTACACATTTCATGGGCTTGGGCACCACAGGAACACAGGATAGCACTTACTTGCCATCCCCAGGAACATGTGATAGCACTCCTGTTCTGATCATAGCGATAGCCAGTGAGCACAACATGGCTAGTGTCTGTTGCTGATTGCCTTGATTAAATATGTTGAGAAATGTGAACTTTTTAAGAAAGAATGTTGTTGTTGTTGTTCATTCGTTCAGTCGTCTCCGACTCTTCGTGACCTCATGGACCAGCCCACGCCAGAGCTCCCTGTCGGCCGTCACCACCCCCAGCTCCTTCAAGGTCAGTCCAGTCACTTCAAAGATGCCATCCATCCATCTTGCCCTTGGTCGGCCCCTCTTCCTTTTACCTTCCACTTTCCCCAGCATAATTGTCTTCTCTAGGCTTTGCTGTCTCCTCATGATGTGGCCAACGTACTTCAACTTTGTCTCTAGTATCCTTCCCTCCAATGAGCAGTCGGGCTTTATTTCCTGGAGGATGGACTGGTTGGATCTTCTCGCAGTCCAAGGCACTCTCAGAACTTTCCTCCAACACCACAGCTCAAAAGCATTGATCTTCCTTCGCTCAGCCTTCCCTAAGGTCCAGCTCTCACATCCGTAGGTTACTACAGGGAATACCATGGCTTTGACTAGGCGGATCTTTGTTGCCAGTCTGATGTCTCTACTCTTCACTATTTTATCGAGACTGGACATTGCTTTCCTCCCAAGAAGTAAGCGTCTTCTGATTTCCTGGCCACAGTCTGCATCTGCAGTAATCTTTGCACCTAGAAATACAAAGTCTGTCACGGCCTCCACATTTTCTCCCTCTATTTCCCAGTTGTCAATCATTCTTGTTGCCATAATCTTGGTTTTTTTGATGTTTAGCTGCAACCCAGCTTTTGCGCTTTCTTCTTTCACCTTGATTAGAAGGCTCCTCAGCTCCTCCTCGCTTTCGGCCATCAGAGTGGTGTCATCTGCATATCTGAGGTTGTTAATGTTTCTTCCAGCAATTTTTACCCCAGCTTTGCATTCCTCAAGCCCCGCACATCGCATGATGTGTTCTGCATACAAGTTAAAAAGGTTGGGTGAGAGTATGCAGCCTTGCCGTACGCCTTTCCCAATCTTGAACCAGTCTGTTGTTCCGTGGTCAGTTCTTACTGTTGCTACTTGGTCCTTGTACAGATTCCTCAGGAGAGAGACAAGGTGGCTTGGTATGCCCATCCCACCAAGAACTTGCCACAATTTATTATGATCCACACAGTCAAAGGCTTTAGAGTAGTCAATGAAGCAGAAATAGATGTTTTTCTGAAACTCCCTGCCTTTCTCCATTATCCAGCGGATATTGGCAATCTGGTCTCTATGGTTCCTCTGCCTTTGAATGTACAAAATAATTTTTAAATGTGTATTGGTATACACATTTTTGAAATAATTTCTCACATTAATACAGATATATGATTCCATAGATGAATGAATTAACACTTTGGAATGGACACACACCAGAAATTGGCCCATCCACAGGGCTGTAGTCAGGGGAGGGGTTATGGGTTTTATCCCCCTTGAAATTAAGAGTTCTAACCCCCCCCCCCCCCGAAACCTGGTTTACTCATGAATTTTAACTGGTTACCCAATTTATGAGTAAACCAGGTTTCCTTTTTAACCTGACACATTTCAGGGCAGGATTGAATTTTTAACAACCCCCCCCCCCCCCCCCCCCCCGGCTACAGCCCTGCATATCCACTCCTATTTTCCATTCTATGTTTCTATGCATTTTATACTGTTTAATTTTCCACAATTGATACGCACAGTCAACTTTCAGAAATAATCACACCAGAAATCTTTTACTCGCCAATTTTAAATCCATAGAGATGTATACTGCTTAATTAGGTGTAATTCAGAACCCAGCATAGTCCTATGATTTATATTCAGGAATCAGATCCCAAGTACAAAATCAAAAATATTAAATAGCCTTAGCTAAAACTGATTATACTACTAAGGAGCTAGGAAACATAGTGAAAGTATGAGAGTAATTGTCTATTCATTTGGCACAATACTGTAAAATTGACTTGTCACTCATTTCAGTTGATTTTTAAGTAGATTTTTAAAAGATATATCCTAATTAGTTGTATGGAAAGATCATTATTGGTCATGTCACACTATTTGAAATTTCTGGGACAACAGTAATTTGGCTGATGTGAAATTAGTAAGAATCCAAGCCTTTCCAAGTGAGCACCCTTAGGCACTGGGGAGGTGAATGATTGCTAGCCCATCCTATCTGTCATTATTGGCCAGCCTGAGACGCTGGTAAGAGAAATAGCCCTTGGGGCCCTTAGGACCACTAAACAGAGCCTTCAACAGAAATTTTGCAAAGTGGGATATAGGTGTCCTCTCAAAATTGATTGGCTTTTCAATGCTTAATCTCCACTCAATACTGAATTAAGTCCTTTCTGTGAATACAGTGGCATAACAAGAAATTCTAAAGTTGTTGTTTTTTGTCTTTGTAGAAAAAATATTGTTATAAACATGAACCAAGTAGATAACTTTGGGTGTCAGAAATTCATGGGTCCCTTATTGCCTTTCTGGGCCCCAGATTGATGTATCACCAAGTTCCTCTATTATAGTCCCTGCCACTGGATACTGGCCAATGAAGAGTGGCACTTCCATGGTGGGCAGAGAATGAACTCCAGATTGATTCCCTGAGCTTGGATGAGATAGCCTTTACTTCTCCTAATTTTATACCCACTTTAAATTCTGGATGCTATTAAATTAA